TACATATGTATGCAGTTCAGTTTTATATATACAAAAAATATACAGACTCTATTCCATTCTTCAAATTCTTTACCTGCCTTTTGGAACTTGTGATTCCAGTGCTCATCAGGGATTATGGCTTAATCTTATTTGATGGTTGACCAGATGATTAATTCTTATCTAGAACATGTGTTGATTTTGTTTTTTAGTCTTTGTTGCTTTCGATCAGCCCTTTTGTTCTAATGTGAATTATTTCTTCTGTCGTGATTAGGCGTAAGGTAATCAATTATTTATAGCTGTTTATTTTGACCTAAATGATTCACGGGATTTACTGTTGTTGCTAATATTCAAAAAATAAGAAAAAATTATTTTAAATACAAATACATAATCTGAGTACTATGAATATAAGACATGTCCTCTATAGTGCTAATGGTATCGAGTAATTGTGTAAATGGAACTTCGTTTCGACGAAAGAAGCACCTCAATCACGAAATTCGGATTAGCACATCGAACTTTTTAAAGTGATAAAGCTAAACTTAGGCAGAACGTCGTAGACTCACTCTTCTAGAATTATAGAAGCAAAAGCTGTTGTGGTAGCTGGAATTGCTGTGATGGGGCATGTTGGGCTCACCCCTCAGGCCATTAGTGTTCTTGGAGGATTCAGGCCTCGAGGCAGAAATGTGGATAGTGCAGTCAAGGTACTACTTTTAACATTTAGAGCATGTTTGGCTAAGCTTAATAGGGAATGTTACTTTTTTCACTTTTAAGTAAAAGAAAGTTTCCTAGAGCATCTTTTGCTAAGTTAAAAAAAAGTAAGAGTTACTTGTGTCATTGCTCAAGTCCTAAACTTTTACACTGTATTAATTGATACTACGGTAAGCATTTCCCATATGCATGCGACTTTTTCACGGAGTCTGCTTCTAGTGTCTTTACATGTGTTAATTCTGGTCGCTCAGGCTGTTGTACCTTATGCTATGTTAGAATATCCAATTCTTGAATGCATATACTAGCTTAATGTCACTAATCCCCATCTCTGATCAATTCATTTTCTTCATTTTTGAAAATTTAGCATTTGGAAGATTAAATGTACGTTGCACGGTATGGATTGGCTTCACCGACAGGTTACTCAGAAGTTCTGTAAACAGTATGTTCATGTTGGAGGCATCATCAAGGCTCCTTTGGAGTACTAGGAAGGAGTTAATACGGTTTCCTTTTTCTAGCTCGGGTGATAGCCCTTATAAAATTGGAGCTATGAATATTGATGCTTTCGTGCCCCAGTTACAGAAGTCGGGTTTGGTGATGCAGCTCAAAAGCTTGTGGCTACAAATTCACAAGACGAGGAGAGAGCATAAAGATTGCGCCGTAGCCGGAATATAGAGAACTGCGTTTTTTTTTCATCAGAACTGGAATTTCCACTGCATTGGGATTTGGGTGTTCGTTTTGGGTATCTAAACATGGACATTGCATAACCAGTTTTGGGAATCAGCAGAGTCTGATTTCTGAAAGATTCAATTTGTTTCTTAGTATTAGTACAAGAGAGGCAAGTAGATTATCAAAATAGCATTTTTTTTCTTTGTGTGTGTGTGTGTGTGTTTTGTGATATTTAGTATCGATATTCAAATCTTGCATACAAATTGAAAAGCCCAAACCACACAATATTAAAATAAGATACAAAAGAATCGATCACAATAGAAAGTAAACGTTGCAGAAATTAAAATGAACACAAGATATGTTTTGGCCTAAGCTCCGGAGGTTCGGCGACCGAATCTAACGCCTACATACCCCGTTGAGCATCCATTAAATGGATAAATGCTCAATTGCACTAATAAGCCCAGGCAACAATATTACAGATCGTTCTTCAAATACAAGAGAAAAGGCACAAAAGCGCTTATCTCTAAAACATCAAACTGCAGATCGAACGAAGGAGTCACAAAAGACAACCTTCAACAGCCTACTGCACTAAACCACTGCAAGAAACCCTTTATTCTCACAGCTATCACAAAGACAACAGATTACAGAGGCTTAACCACTAATAGATCTCAGTTTACAGGTTCATCATAAGGGATGAAGAACACGAAGATCTCTAACTCTAGTTACAAGAAGAAAGAAAGACTCAGAAGAACCTAGAAGAAACGAGAGAAGCCCAAAAAGCCAAGATCGAATGAGAAAAATATCTCGAGTTTGGTATATATATCACACACCAACAAACCACAGATCCAAGGGCCAACAAAAGACCACGTGTCACCATCAGAAGAAAAGTTGCATTACTAAAAGAGTTGCTCTTTTGCAAAACACGATTTCAACCAATTTTGGGAGCACACATCACAGATCTGAGGTTCAAACCTCAACAATCTCCACCTTGCTACCAGAAATTAGGCTCTATACAGTGTAGCCAGGAGCACTCTATCACATTTATTTCACTTGCTCCAAGTACCTGTTCAGCATTACAAAGTATCAATAGATAATAATTTCAAACAGTTAAGAAACTTTTTTAAAGGTATTATCTTAGTTCCCATATCTAAAGGATTAACCTGGGTAGGAATTTTACCAATTTTCATAATTCCTTTTGATATATCATCTCTAGAAGGTGGCGGTGGAGGTGCCGAAATTGGTAGTGGGTGGTGGTGTGGGGATTTGTAGTAGCGGTGGTGGGCAATATGGATCGAAGGTGGTGTTGGCAACTGTTTCTGGTAGGGCTTGTCGAATAAGAAAAAGAGAGGCAATTTTGATTGGGTTAGGGGGTGGGATGGAAGATAAAGTGTTTTTGGTTTTTTATTTACCTTTTTTTCTAATTTTGTTTGTTTTTTCATAATATGGAATTAACTAAGTTATCATTTTGCCCTTGTCAAATTTTGTCAAAATCAATTTTTTTTATCAACTAATGGTCAAATTCCATCCATTTTATCCACAGCTGCATATTTCTGAAAGATTAGGGACGTTCGTTGGCAAAAATTGAAAATTAAGATAAAGTTTTCAAAAATTGAAAAGATTAGGGATCACTATTGTAATTTTCCCTTAAGAATACAAATCACCATTTAGTGGAGTAATCATGTCTGGTTTGAAAACCGATTCACGTAAATTCTCGTAATATCTATGTGTCTTCCGTAATATTTTTTATCTTTTTTCTTCTTCTTCTTATTATAATAATAGTTGACGCGAGTTTTTCAGAAGAGAATTCCATTGCAAATTGTTAACTAGATAGTGTCGAGGATAAAGAATTTAAAAGAAAATCAAATACTTTGAAATTTAACGCCCTTTAGAAGTGTGCAGAAGTCCCCATCCCCCATTTACATTTTGGAATAAGACAGGCAATTCAATAGATTCTTTGAAGCTGTCTTGCATTTGTCCCATAGATTTCACATAGGATTGGAATATGTTTATTAACATAATTAGTTACACGGACACCCACATCATCAGCAAAAATAGAATGTAAAAATGGCATTAAGCAATTGGTTGTAATGAAAATGCTTATGATTCACAAAAGACCTTTATGAATTATGAGACATTTGTGTAACAAACTTGGAATCAAACTCTTTTTTTCCTTTACAACGTTCCCTATGATCAAGATTTATACATCATAGATACAAAAACAATTTGTACCCTGTTTGATCCATATTCTTAAAAAAAATACATTCTTCCAATACTGATTTTCAACCACACAATTTTTAATAAAATAATATTATACGCAAATTCAAAACATTTCATTTTGTTTTAACCACATATATTTCATCACATCACTATTTAAAATACATTATTTCCTTAAAAATGTGCATCAAACAGGGGCTTGATTTTAGATTCTCGACTAGTTTCAGCAACGGAAAATGTAATTCTGCAATACAATTTTATTTTATTTTTGATACCAGGTATCCCAGCTTACACCAGACTATTTCCTAGACCGCCCATCACCGGTGCCTCAACTCTGGGTGGAGGTAAATCGCGGGTTATGCCCAATCAAGTCAGTGTCCATGCAAGCTTTATACTCCTGACCCCAAGGGAGCTCTCCTACAACCGGTTTTTACAACACCAAGCTACTCCACCACGTGATTTGGGTATTACAACGCTTGGCTGCTCCTTCCGTGATTCGCACTCCCCACACTGGGGTTACAAGCCCTACCACCCAAAATCGGTGCCTCAACTTTGGGCGGAGGTCAATCGCGGATTATGCCCAATCAAGCTAGTGACCATGCAAGCTTTATACTCCTGACCCCAAGGGAGCCCTCCTGCGCCGGATTTACATCACCAAGCTGCTCCACCACATGGTTTGAGTATTACAACACTTGGCTGCTCCTTCCGTGATTCGAACTCCCCACACTGGGGTTACAAGCCCAGCCTTGCACTGTCTTCTCCATCTCGAATGTGCCCCGGGGCACCTGCAATACAATTATTTGCTAACTAGGTTGTCAAGGAGAGTAACACGCTAGCTTTTAATTGTCTACTTGACGGGCATTAACCATTGAAAATGTCCTTGGCCAATTTGTAACTAATATTTAAATTCAATGATGATTTTATTCCCGAAAATCTGATTTTAATTCATGGAAAAGAAAGCATGTTATTTTTCTAAAATGTACAAATGGGATTTAACGGTAGTAAGATATTCGTCCCCATTTAGTTTTGTTAGTTTTCAATTATATATTGAATATAGTGACTTTGTAAAAAATTGAAAGTTCAATGCTAATTTCTTCAATAAGTAAAATTCGACGACCAAAATAGGACATATTTGTGTGTTCGATTCCAAGTAAGTTTTTATCCCTTTGAATAATAACATAAAATTTTTGAAGTCGCTTATTGGTGTCAAATGGGTAGAGCGTCCTATTTCGCATGAAACATGAGGTTCATACCAAGAAGGGTTATGATATGTGTGAGTCCCAAAAACGACGGATTTAATCTAGTGAATTGATTAAACAATTTCGTTGCAATTTTTTTTAAAAATATAATAAAAAAATCTCTTAAGTAATAAAAATATGGTAGTGATCAAAAGAGTAAGAAAGTGTGACACCCAACATACAATGGTTCGAACTCGACACTTTTTGTTTGACAAAGGAAGCTCAGACAAAAACAAAATAAATAAAATAAAAAAGACGCTCATATATCTGTTGTCCCATAGATTCCGTATAGGATTGAAATATGTTGATTAACATACGAGTAATCACCACTGATGTTGATCATCAATTTAGATAGCAATTATATGACATTAAATAATAAATTCATTTAAATATAAAATCACGTGACTCATTTAATTGAACCAATAAAATGTAATCACCTATATTGATATTCTAGCGCCAAGATAACATTATTCTTCACATAATTAGTTAGGCAATCACTCAAACCACCACCAAACTTATGCCTACACCATAAAAAGGAATGTGAAAAGGTATTAAGCAATTGATTGTAATTGAAATGTTCATGATTCACAATAACTATTTATGTCCCTTCATAGTACAATAGAGGTAACAAACATGGAATCAAACTCTTTTTCCCTCTACAAGGTTCTCTATGATTGAGATTTATAGCTTCAAGGTACAAAAACATCATGATTCTTAGATTCCCCAACTACAAAAGGGTTCAAAACTTGCGGAAATTTACTTGGTCGTGAACTTTATTTCGAATCAAATTGATCATCGATGTATTTGGAGTTGACCACAGTGATGTAACAAATTGACTAGAAGAGACATAACCACCAATTTAACTAGTGTTTGACGCCAATTTTTGTAGAATAGAATTTTCAGAATAGTGATTGATGAGAGAATGTGTGGTGAAAAAGTTATGAAAAGTTTTAGATTTGAATGTAATATTATATTATTGGGAGAATGTACGGTTGAAATGAATATGGAAAAAAAGAACGAAATGAGAATGAATGTCAAAGAGGGGCTTAATTTCAAAATCCTCATGTTCAATGATCAATTGAAACAAATAAAATTCATCCAGCGTCCTGTCCACAAATGTTTTTAACCCACTGTACAGTGAAAGAAAAGTGAGCGACAAGAAAAACAACATTCAAAGGACTTCAATAGGTCAACTAGTGCCGGCGGCGGTGGTTGTTGCATTACTGGCATGCCAAGGAAATTGTAAAGTCGCCGGTAATTGATCGGGAAGCAAATCTCCGGCATCCGGACCGGTGAATTCCTCCAAACCCAAAAAGAAATCATCATCTAATTCCATGTTTGAAACACTAAATTCATCATCTTCACCTTCAACTTGGTCCTCTCTGTCCTCCCTGCTGCTCTCCACCTTCTCCGGCGCCGACGAGGGGCTCTCCGCCGACGATACCGGCGTTGAGCAAGTGGGTTTGTCAGCATCATCAGTTTCAGCACTTCGGGTGGTCGCCGTCTTCTGGCGGGTGCTTCCGGCGAGAGAATTCCTGTGAGTAGGCATAGGGTGGTTGTGCTCCGCCGTGTAAGTAACAATAAACATCCCTGGGTCGGATCTATTCCGCTCCACTTGTTTCCGGGCCAGACACCCCTTTGAAGTACTGCATTTATAGTATCCTCTGTTTGAAACACAAAAAGGTAAACTAATCAGTACGCAACAGACCCTTTTAGCAAAAATATTAACAGCCCTTGAATAAAATTGCAGTTGAGAAGTACTTATTTTCTCAAAATCACTTTTTTCAAGCTAAAAATTCTTGTAAGTGAAAATCTAACCTAGGTAGAAAAAGCCTTAAACGGGTACTTCGCCATAGCCTCGTAGTTTTCTCAAAATCACTTTTTTTCAAGCAAAAAATTCTTATAAGTGAAACACTAACCTTGGATGGGGAGACCCTTTAATGGGTTTTTGCCCATATTTTCTCCAAGACCACATATCATTAGATAAGCTATCAGCAGGTACATGACAAACCCGCTTCATATGATTCTTCCTGAAACAGAATTTCTTAAGAAACTCAGTACGCAGAACAGGATTACTTATAAGTTGAAAGAAAAATTTATTATTTTCAACTATACCTTCTTTTGGATCTTGGGCTTGGAGTATGTGAAGTACTACTTTTTACTGCAACGAGAGATTGTTTAGGCTGAATTTGTGTTTGCTGTGGCAGATCTTGTAATCCTCCAAGAACAGAGAGTGGTGAAATTGTTGTGTTTTGTGGAAAAAAAGGTTTGTAGAGATCCTGTAAATCTTCAAAAAAGCTCTGTTTTCTTGGCTCCAACAGATCTTGAAAGGAAGAAAAGTTCACATCTTGTTGTGGTTTGAAGCTGCTGAAGAGCTGAGAGCCGCCGGAGGTGGTGGTGGTGGTGACGGTGGAGGAGGTGGCGGAAGAGGTGGAGGTTTTGCAGCAGCCTCTCACCACCGCCTGAAGATCCCAATCATCGTCCATTGGTAGCGTGGGGTGGTATTGGGAACAGAGAAGAGACAAAACAAGGCGCTGACTTTTGGCGATTTAGAGAGAGAGATTTGAGGGGTGTAAATGAAAGAAAAAAACATTTATTTATAGAGAGGGAGTGATGGTTGGCCTGGAATTATCAAAGTTATTTTCACACTTAGTCATCGAAATTTGTGTAAATTTTCGAATTGGTCATCAAATAATATTTTTCTTCAATAATGCTATTTAATTTCGGTGATACTGAATACTAATGTACGTGACATTGGGCTCCACTACCTATAATTGATTAAAAATTTTAAATTTTTTATTTTAATCAATTGAAGACCATGAACCTCATTGTAATATAGATAGATTTTTAATATCATTTGGACTAAATAATAGTATTTATTTTTCTTACTTAAGTTAGTAATTGCTTCAAAATTTATTACTCGATTATTAAAACCAACATTTAATTTGACATGGCCTTAGTTAATTCCCCGAATATGTGTCATTAGGATAAAATGTACTTTCGAATGGTAAAAAAAATGATTTTTTTATTTACGTGTAATATTATTATTTTATTGAATAATGTATAAATGAAAAGAAGGGAGAAAAAATATATTTTTTTAAAAAATATGATCAAACAAGGGCTGAATAACTCCAATGTATATACCCATCAAAAAAAAACCTCCAATGTATAATGTTATAAAATACTTCAATTATCAATTTAAAATTGTGCACAAACTTTAGTGACCACATATGAAATTAACTCAATTATCAAGGAGAATTTAGAAAGAGAGGGTGGTTGTCTAGAGAGAGAAAGTGAGAGTTGGGTTGGAATTATCAAAATGGCTTTTATCTCTCTATTGACAAATTCGCATTAAGTGGTTTGTAGGTTGACTTTAAAAAATGTCAAAGGTGTGTTTGGGAAGTAAGAAAAGGTCTACGCGGTTTTCATTGTAATTTGCAAGATAAGCGAGGTTAAAGGCTACTGCCGACATAAAGAAAGAAAGAAACAGTCCACGCACCAAGTTTAATGCACTAAATCTCCTGCGCGTGGTATCCCACCATTTTTTTTATATTCATAAATAGGAAAGTCGAGATGTTACATAATTGTGTTTGATACATTAAAAGTTTGTTTCAAATAGATTTTAATCCAATTAAAATTAAAAATATAATCGTTATTGAATCTCATCCGTCTAATAAAAATCAACAATAACGATTAATTTTTTAATTTTAATTTGATTTTAATATCTCACAAACAAGCTCTAAATTGAACGAATAGTAGACGAACAATTTGCATAGAGTATTTTCTTTTAATTTAAATCTAGTTCTAGGAAAAAGTCGAACACAATTGTGTTCCATATGTTAAATGAAATGAATTGTAGATGACCTTTTTGGAGTGAGTACTTTCTTTTGATTTTAATTCTAGTTAAGGGAAATAAAATTTGAATATAAAAAAATGTAAGAATCGAAAATGTCGTATAAATGTATTTGATAAGTTAAGAGAGTGTTTGAACCACATTATTTTAGAAGAATGTATTTCGAAATAGTAGATTGATGAAAAATGTGTGGTTGAAAAAGAAGGAAAAGTTATCGATGTGATGTAAAATATTATTTTATTGAAGAACGTGTGGTTGAAAATGAGTAGAAAAATGAAAATGAAAATTTAAATGTGTACCAAACATGGGCTAAATTGAACGAATTGTGACGAACATTTTGCCGAGAGTGTTTTCTTTTAGTTTTAATTCTAGTTTCGAATGTGAAAAGTGGAAGAGTTTAAAATGTTGTACAATTGTGTTTGATTAGTTAAATTAAACGAATTGTGGGCGAACAATTTGCAGGGGGTATTTTCTTTTGGTTTTCATTCTAGCTAAGCGAAAAAATTTGAACATCAAAAATTGAAGTCGATGTATCGTATAGTTGTGTTTGGCATGTTAAATTAATGAATTGTACATGAACAATTTGTAGAGAGTATTTCTTTAGGTTTTAATTCTAGGTTTGGCTGACCCTAAAATTGTAGGGAACCATAATTTTTCTTTTGAGGTTAACACCATAATTTCATAATGTGTTATTGCTTTCAATATTTTCATTATTGGTAACATTGTCTTCAATAATGTCTGATAAATGTGGGTCGATGATCATGAAAGATATTGCTCTCAGTAATTTCATTTGAAGCACTAACATATTGGTTTTGTCAAAATCTCCGATAGCAATAGTCTACATTATAAATGGAGTTTCCTTTTGTTATTATTTGCTCCAATAATAATAATCATGCACAATTTATGTACCAATGACATGTTTGGTTGGATAAAAAATAATATTAAAAACAAAAAAGTCTTAAAATGTATAACTATGGTACTATCTATAAATTCTTATGAATGCACGGTTGAAAAATGAGGATAGATAAAGAGATTTCATTAGCAAATATAAAAATTCAAAAGGCCAAGCTTTTTCCCAAACAAAGTGGAACGATTTTTAGTGGTTGTGCGTTGGTGACAAGTTTGTTTCGTGAGCATAATGTCACCATGCCCCCACTCAAAAATTAAGGTTAGTATCTAGTCTGTTTGACGATCATTATTTTAAAATTCTTTGATTCTCATACTTATTTTTTATTACACATTTAAACATAAAAGTATTTTACATGTAAACTCAATTTTTAACTTTTTAATTATGCATTCTTCAAAAAATTACTATTCAAAACTATATATTTTTTCAAATTAACGACCATTACATGGGCTAATAATGATTTCGAACTTTGCTCGTGTTTCAATTTAATCACTATACTTCTAATTATTCTATCGATTACTAAGCTCCGTTCTTGGTTTCCATCCATTGTTGTCATGATGATTCAACGTAATTATTGATCTAGCGAACCTTTGTACATTTAAATGCATGTGGGTCTCTAGTAGAAAAGATTTAAAAGGAAATGGCATTGAGTTATGTGCACGGACGCCCAAAGTCTAGATTTAGTTGTTGGTTTTTTTTTCAAAAAGGAAAAGTGTTGGATCACATAGCTCGACTAAGCCTGATACAATCAAAGTCAATATTGTTCATGCTCATCTCGTTTTATAGGCAAACTTATTCAAAACACAAAGAATAGACTATTATATACTCACAAGCATTAGAACTCCAACTCGATCTCCTAACCCACTTTTCACATATATCATCTAGTCATGATTCAAGAAATTACTTATCTATTCGAACACGAAAACCAAATCATACGTGTTAATCTTGTTTGATCTGTCATCAATATTATGTATCAATTAGAAGTGCGACGATCATATATCCTAAAGTCACCCTCATAATAAACCACCCGTGGATCCTTGTGACCTACACGTGCAAAGGAAGTGTGACTTTACAGTTCACAATTCAGAGAATTCATGTTTTGACCATTTCCAAGTCTTTCTTTATGAGGAAAACAACTTTAAAAAAAAACCAATCGATTGAACTTCAAACGAAGTGTTGTTCGCGTGAAGTTCATTTGTCAATAAGGTTGACTACTGAAACGAATTCACACGGAAGGGTGGCGCGTGAGGACTATGATAAAGTGATGCCCGACAGCTTGCAGATGTCGTGGGGCCCAAGCTTTTGGGGAAACACCGACGCGTGCACTGTGCCCTTAAATGCCAATTCTTTTGTTGCGGCGTATCGGGTCCGGGGAATCCAACGGTCCACAACAATATTTGGTGATTCGTTGGTCAATCAAACATTTTCTCATTTTGGGATCGACATGTATTATTTGGTAGATGATTTTTGATTGAATACGTACCCTCGTCGACATGTATGTAAAGTGGGTCGAATTCGATCGAGATGTAATATTCCATATAGACCGCCATGAACTTATTAGAATTTGAATCGATCACTTTAAAATAAATAGAGGGGTTAAATTTACTGATGATCATCAAACTTTATATTTGGTGTCACCATGATCACTCAATTTGATTTTGTTTTACTATTGTCACCCAACTTTATACTTCGTGTCATCTTGATCACCCAATTTAATTTTATTTCATATTGATCATCCAATTTCATATAACTTTACATCATGATCATACAATTTCATATAACATTTCAACATGACCATCCAACTTATTTTCACTATTTTCATTAATTTTAAAATGGGAAAAACTATATTTTTGCATTATATATATATCAAATAAATTTTAAAAATTTAAAATAAAAACTTATTTTAAAAAAAACGTTACTTTAAAAAAATAAAAATAAAAACTTATTTTTTTAAAAATGATACTTAAAAACTTTTAAAAAAAAGTTACTTAGAAAAATAAAATAAAATAAAAATTTATTTTAAAAAAAGACATTTCTTAAAAAATAAAATTAAAAAAACTTATTTTAAAAAATTAAAATAAAATAAAAACTTATTTTAAAATAAACGTTTTTAAAATAAAAAATTTTTTTTATTTTTTTAACTTATTTTATATATATAATACAAAGTTGTCATTTTACCACTTTTAGAATTAGTGAAAATAGTGAAAAGAAAATTTGTTTGATCATGATGAAATGTTATATGAAATTAGATTATCGTTATGAAACATTATATAAAATTGAGTGGTTATGATGAAATAAAATCAAATTGTGTGGCTATGGTGATACTAAATATAAAGTTGGATGGCTACAGTGAAATAAAATCAAATTTGGTGACCATGATGACACTAAGGGTATGTTTGATAGATATTATTGATGAAAATATATTTTTTAAATAGCGATATGATGTGAAATATATGGTTAAAAAAAAGAAAAAGTTATTGATGAGATGAAAAAGATTATTTTATTGAAAAATGTGTAGTTAAAAATGAGTTTTGAAAGAATGTTTACCAAACATTAGTTAAATATAAAGTTGAATGACCATTGATGAATTTAACCGTAAATAAAGTGGACACATATTATATTAATTTACAGTCCTATCAACTTTGGACTGACTTAAAATTGGTATTAGGGTGTTCTGTAAATTGTAATGAGGCCAACTTTTTTTATTATTAAGATATCTATAAAAA